GATTCCTCCTGAAAGGGAGGTTCCAGGGCCAAGGACAGTGTCCAGGGACCAGGTGGGCCTCATTCTGGTGCTGGCATTCCAGGAACATGGCCAATGGTAGCCACATGGAACCACTGGCTCACAAGCTTCCCCTTCACATCCCCTGGAAGGGATTCCTCCACTGACAAGTGGGGATGATGTTTACAAGTGGGAATGACCTTTCGTCTCCTGCTTGGACACTGGGAATGTGGTGAGTAACTGTGCAAAGACACGCTGTAGCCAGAGTTCAACCCATTGTGAGCTGGTTGAGAAAAGCAGGGGCTTGAGAAAGAGCTGAGAACAATTAGGCACTTTACCCCACTGCTTATCCAGTGACTCCTCGTTCTACTGTATTGGAATCAATCTTGAACTTGGGAGTAGGAGGCCCTATGGGGGTGGGGAGGCTGTTCTGCTGCCTCTGTGTCTCAGCAGTGGTGAAGAAGCCTGCCCAAAGGCAGCCCACCTCTTCCCTCTCCTCCCTGGGGATGAATCAGCTGGTGGGAACCTCTTGTGCCTTGGGAAAGAAGGAAATACAGCCAATAGTAAGCTGATGGCTTCACTCACCCATACCTGAATGGAGGCACTGTTCTTTCTGCTGAGGCAGCTTCCAAAGCTGAATCATCATTTTCTTTTTTTTCTTTTTTCTTTTAGATGGGGTCTCACTAGATTTCCCAGGCTGGTGGCAAACTCCTGAGTTCCAAGTAGCTAGGATTACAGGCATGTCCACTGAGGCTGGCTGAACCATTGTTTTCACTTAAATATAGCTCAAACCCTTCTTTAGCACTTGGCTAGATGGACAAAATAGTCCCTGAAAGTAGCAAGACTGTCTAGATTTTTCTAACAACCTTCTCAGACTGATGAGCAGCCATTCACAGCACGAAAGTGGGGAAACGATCAACTCGTCTATGCTGGCCACTTTGGAAAGAACCAGGCTCAGTCCTCCTTCCAGGGAGGGTTTCCATACCCCAAAATAGGGAGGGAGGCTGCCTTCCTGCATCCCTTCTTCTGCCTGCATTCTGAGTCAGCACCCTGGAGAGCTGCACCCCACCCACTTCCTGACCGGTGAGGTCAGTGCAGATGCCCGCCCGCCTGGCCCCAGCACAGAGCAAGAGGGAAGGAACTGCAGCTGCTAGACGAGGCTCCCAAGGCCTGAGTTGAAGTGATCCTCATGAAGGCTGTGGAAAGCTCCAAGATCCAAGAGGTCCAGTTCAAAGAATAGCTTTGCTGACAAATTCTTACTGTGGGTACTCAGATAGGGGTGTGGCATTGTTCAGCACTTATTAGTAAAGCACTTCACACACACTAAATTATAATCTATCTAAAGGGCAGCTATGGCAAGATGCTAGTCAAGTGTCACTTCCAATGTTGCCCCAGGAGCTGTGGTTATGGAAGCTCTAACACTGTGTGACTGAGAGCTCCAGACTCAAGAGTGGCCATGCATACAACTGGAAGCCCTTATGTTTTGAGATCTAAGTTAGATCAGCTCCTTTGAGGCAGCTCTCCTCTTAATCAGGTGCTGAGCTCAGAGTAAATGCCTGTCTCGCTTGCTCAGAGTGAAACACACCTACAAGGCCCAGACACAGGCTCCAAGAGGGGCCCAGCATGCGGAACAGCTCATGAGCCCGCATGGGAATCCCGGAATGCTTACGAGTCTGCCTTCTTGCCTCTCTCCAGCCCAGTGGGTCTCAACAGCATGCTGGAAAATGAACCAGTGCAAATCCGGGGTCTCGTCAGAAAGATCCTGGCTTGTAAGTCTGGGATGGGACTAGGAATCACCACACCTGAGTAATTCCGCCGCGTACAGGACCACTCCATGCTGTGAGTGCCGCTGGATGCTGCAACACTGTCAAGTCAGGAGCACCGAGGGAGCTCACCCCTGCAGTGAACATCCTGGCTCTCACCAAGGAGGCTCACTTGGCTCATGGACCCACAGCCCTGGCCACACAGGTGGCCTCCGCACAGCCTCTGCTGTCTTCCCATTAGTTGTCTAGCAGACTAGGGCTGAATCCAGTCTCCCACCCAGAAAAATGAAAGCAGAGGGCATGCATCCTTCTGTTGGCCCAGTGTGCTATTAGGAAGAACAGCCAAAAGACAATTACAGATGGAGAAATGACCCATGTTTCCTGGAGTTGGCCTGGGAGATGGAAACTCATGTCTGCCTCTGCATTCAGCCCGATCTCTAGAGCAGAGAGGTCTTTTCTTCTCTAGCAGTGGAGAGTGGACGTCCCTCCTCCAGTCACCAGTGCCCTGAAGCCGCAGTGCCTTGGTCTCCACTTGATGGCATGAGGTAGAAGAGAAACGTTCCTGGCACTCCTGGCCTTTTCCCTCAGGAATGCTGCTGTGAGCGAGCTTCTCTTCTGTAGAAATTCTGGTGCCGCAGTCAACCCACACATGGTGTCTGAGGCTGCTCGGGCTGCTATACAGAATACCACAGACCTAAGGTCTTAGGACAACAGGAATGTATTTCTCACAGTTCTGGAGGCTGGGAAGCTTAAGATAGGAGCACCGACAAATTCAGTGTTTGGTGAGAACCCGTTCATGGATGGTACCTTCTTAATGTGTCCTCACATGGTGGAAGGAATGCACGAATGTCCTCAGGCCTTTTTTTTTTTTTTTTTTTTTTT